GAGTACCTGGATTATCATGATACTCAAAACCATCACACAAAACTGATGGAGACACATGATTTCTAAAGAGTTAAGCTGTTATTCCCTCTTTTAGACAAATGGAAAGGATGTAACATTTCATGGTGACATGGCTGTAGGAACTGACTGTTGTCAGTTAGCACATTTTGCAAGAATTAGCATTTAATATTGACAAAATTATATGGTCCCTAAAATTGGACTAATTGAAGTGCATGAACTAGCAAGTCCTAAAAAAAGCAAAACTAAAATACAAACCCTCTTAGCACTTGTCCCACTTTTTCTAGAACAGAATATGCCATTTCATACTGAGGGACTATTATTCTTTGTCAATGAGTTATAATTGATGAATATTTAAGAAAAGAAAGAAATATCAGAGCTTCTGTAAAAAGAAAAAGGCTTTTTCTTTGGGAATAGATAGTGCAAAAATAATGTCATTTTATGTATGTAGGCTACATTTTGCTTAAGTAAGCCGGTCACAGGCTATCTTTTTTCTCCTTCCACAACTTATACATCTAACAAGCAAAGATGTACCTTAAATCAGACCTTTATTTACTATTGAAGACAAACATAAAGGTAATTGAAAAAGAAAGTAAAAATCGTGATCAATACTATAACAAGAAAAGGGAAGTACAGGTTCAGAATTTCATTAGGAAGAAGTTAAGCAGAAATCAGTTTTTCTTGTATATTACAAAGGCATTAATTACAGTTCCTTGGATACTAATAATATAATAGTTTTTAAACAAAAATCCAATTTAAAAAAATTCAACACCAATAAGTTGGCAACTGAAGAGTGAAGAATCATTGTGCAATTTATAGGCATACCCTTTCTCTTAGGACAAGTCCAGTCAATTAATGAACAAGATGTAACTGATTCTGTGCATACAAATATTATTCTTTTATTGTTTTTTAAGACTTTTTTACACTGGCAATGTGTAGAAAATCCTCCCCTGTGATTAGAATTATACTTGCTATTACCTCCTGTCTGCCTGGAACTCTTGGTATAATATTTCATGGAAGAGACTTTAAAGTCCATCTAGTTCCAACCCGCTGCCATGGAAAGAGACATCTTCCACTAGTCCAGGTTGCTTAGAGCTTTATCCAACCTGGCCTTGAGCACTTCAAGTGACGGCTAATCCCTTAATGTAGTGTAGTTGGGTTTATTTCATTGTATGTTTGTATAGAGCATCATGACAAATATCCTGAGGTTTTATAGGTCAAGATATTTGTCCACTGGCTGATGATTTCTCTGGTCTTTTATCAGGGGCTCTCCTTCCTAGAGAGCCACTGGCATCAAAGGGTGGGTCAGATGTGTTTCTTTGGCAGAAGTCTCCTGTTTGTGGCCCTTTTCTTTTCCAAGGGCTTTGTGGTTTCTCCTCATCTTTTGATGGCCTATCATGTGGTAAAAGAAAAGCTATGGAAAAGCTCTTCAAAGGAAGGTTGGCAACCAGGAGTGAGTCTGCCACTGCTGGAACAATTCATCCTGATCCTTGTCCAGATACCCATTAATTGCTCCAGTGGTTGCAGCCTGTTGCTAGCTCCATCCTTCCCGAGAGGTCCTCAGGCACTGGGGCACAGACAGGATGTCTGCATGTGTCTGTGTGTCTTTCTTTGTTGCAGTTGATTTTTGGGTGTGTAGTAGACCCAACACTTTCCCAGAAAGAATCTCAACGGCGTGTGTGGATGTGCAGTTGTGTCATAGTAGGCATGGACAAGATCCAGAGAAAGAATCACAGCATGTTCTTTACTTCAGCCTCTCAAAGCAAAAAGGTCAAACTCCCAGCAGGAAAGTCAGGGCACTCGTGATGCAGGATTTCATTTTTACTTTCACTAAAACAGAAAACATGTCGAAACAATGAAGAGATTATAGAGAAAGGGAAAATAAAACTTTCATCATTAATTAAGCACTCAGAAGATAGAATATGACAATTCATTAGTCACACACAAGCATCTCACTCTCTGTTGTACTGAAAAACTTGTTTTCCTTATTATATTTCCATAATATCTAGAATCCTAAAATCATAGAATGGCCTGGGTTGGAAGGCACTTTAAAGTCCAGCTAATTCCAACCCTCCTGCCATAGGAAGAGAGGTCTCCCACTAGACCAGGCTGCTCAGAGCTGCATCCAACCTGGCCTTGAATGCTTCAAATGATGGCTAATTCCTTAATATAGTGAAGTTGGGTTTATTCTTTGTATGTTTAGATAATTGTTTCTAGCATCAGGTGGTAGAAGCTAAATAGGAATTTAGCATAGACCTTTCAATTCAGCATATTACATATGGTGGATGGGAAGAGCAAAATAAATAATATGAAAAGTTACTCAGCTGACTTTAATGGATGGTCAGTGTTGCTGTGCCTATAAGTCACAGTGTGGTTGTGTAAGCGCTTTCAACCAGTGCATAATTTTATTTAAAATATTTGATATTATTTTGAATAGAAGAGAATAGACTGTTTCAGTTAAAAGGACCTGCAATAGCAGTGACCAGTTCATGACTGACCAAATGACAAAGCACATTCTTAAAGGCATTATTCAAATGTCCTGTTTATCTCGGCTGTTTGAGGGGCCTGGGAAGGCCTGAGGGTGGCCTTGGGGCACCACGCGTGTTTAAGGACGAGAAGAGGCTTCAGTTCTTCTTTCTGGTTTTATGTTTATTAATTGTTTATCTAAAAGATGTTCTTTCAGCCTAACAAAGATCTGCTCAGCAGTCAGCCATGGGCACACTGTCTCCCTCCGGGGCAGGCACCTATCTTTATACCCATTGTGACGTGTACAATATTTATCATTTTTCCCCAATACCATCTATTCTCATTGCTGGGTGCACTCTCAGTAATAACCAATCTAAGGGTGCCACCGTGGCCAAAGAAGATGGAGGAGAGGAGGAAGAAGGAGGAGGGCAGGACACACCCCAATTCCTCCATCTTGCTCCTCTAAACCCCCCTGTACATAAATCCTAAACCTTGTGTCTCACTCTCTAATTAACTAATCCCTTCACCACTCACCCGGTGAAGCCCTCATCCTTGTCGTCTCCTGTGTAGGGACAAAGTCCAGCTACCAGACACTTCTGGCAACATTCCAGGAGTCCCGAGCCCCCCCAGGGTCTCGGTGGCTCAGCACCTCAGGACTGAGATCCTGAGATCCTACATTCAAATGCCTGTTCTAATGCCACTGACAGGCTTGGCATACACCACCTGCCTCTCTAGGAAGTCAGCAACAATGTTTACCACCCTCTTGGTATAGATCTCCTCTGATTGGGAACTTAACTGCCATATCATCAAAAGTAAAAATTTTGGGAAATTCTGCATATCCTGGGAGAACCTTACCATTGAATCAGCAGAGGCAGCCTGGTATTTCCGATGCTATAACAATATCCATACAGACCAGTCTCTGACGTGGTAGAGAGCCCTGCTCATAAGAACATAATCACACAAATTCCACCCACAGGCAATTTTTCTACAGCATTTTAGTGTTGAGCTGTTGTCATTAAGATTTCGGAGTCATGATATTGACATTTATGCCTGTTTGTGCTGGAGAGCTGTTAAATGCAGGAACATAAAGTCCAGTGAACCATCACATGAAGTAATGGTTTATCTGTGCCATGACTTTTTTTAAGTAGAGCGCAAGAGTATGTAGAAAACCTTCCAGTTATTCTCTGTCATCCAGAAAAAGTTATATAAAAATAGGAATGCTCATATTCATCGTTCTGCTACTTTACAATATCAAGACATTTTATACTGCTGTTCATAGTTGATCATTATATTAGCCACACTATTAGCAAAGAATTGTGCAGCCCTTTTATGTTATTTACATAATGTAGTGAGTATGAATAAGCACTATTTTCCATAGAATAAAGAAGGGTGAAATAGCAGTAAAGTACTAAACCAAGGTAAATGAGCATTTTTAAGTGACTTTAGACAGAATATCATAGTACAATAATTTTCTTAAAAAAACCAAACATAACAAAAAGCTTCCACTTGCTTAGATTTATTAGTTTTTATAAGGCAATGAGTAACCTATTCACTACTGTCTCATTCATCAAGTGAGTTCTCCAGGAAAAGGCATCCTGTCAGGTGCTGCAGACAAAGCTCTGAGCAGCATCACTACTGTTAATGCCTCAGATAATGACTGCAAGGATTGCAAAATTATACATTATTATCTAGTAGGCATTGATCATAATTATATCACTGATAAAGGCAAAGCATATCAAATGTTATGTTTTAAATATTTCCTTTAATTAGAATAAAAATGCCACAGAAATAATTTGAGTGGTAGCTATGTGATTCTTCTGAATGTAGAATGTAACATTTTTGCATATACTCAGGATGAAAGGAGTTATCACTCTAAGCTGTTCACTTATTAATTTTCATTTAATACTCATGGTATATCAGACATTATAGATCGTTCACCATTTTGCTTTATGACAGAGCAGAACCCTGATAACTATGCTGTGTCTAAAATGCAGTTCCCTCATTTACCTGCCTGCTTGGACTGAACTGCAGAATCTTAATTTGCTGTCATGGTTTCCATGATCCTTTGCTCATGTCACAATTGTTGTTACAATGAACACATAGCATGTACAGCATAGCCTTCATCTTCTTAAGGCAAAGCACAGACCCTTTCATCCTTGCAAAATGAATAATTAAACTAGGATTTTAATATTTGTGCTTGCTTTTGGGTTTATTAGCTCTAACTGTGAAAGCTAAATCAATTATTTTGTATGCTCCATCTGACTAACTCTTGAAAAAATAGACTGGAGTTTTCCATATATCTGTTCTGACTTTAAGCTATTTTAAAATAGCTCTATTGAATAAATATTGCCAATTGAATAAATGACTTTCTTATTATTACAAGCTTTGGGCTTGCATAAGAACCAGAAGTGTAAAGCAAAATTAGGGAAGATGTTTGTCACTGGTAAGGTCCTATGGTGGTAATATAATTTTTCTGCTGTACCTGCCTCACTTGGATTTGGGTATTTTCATTTCTGCAGAGCCCAGAGGAAGGAGCCTCTACAACCATCTATGCAGCAGTATCACCCGAGATGGAAGGAGCTGGTGGCTGCTACCTCTACAACGAGGAAAGGACAAAATCGGCTGACGTGGCATATGATGAGGAGCTGCAGAGAAGGCTCTGGACAGAAAGCTGCAAGATGGTTGGGATTTCTGATGAAGCCGGCAGGCTTCCGTAGAAGAAGCCACTTTCAGCTGGGTAAATGAAATGCATTGAAAAGCATCTCTAGGTGAATTCTTGCAGCATCAGTCATCATCCTGGAAATCACTGTTCAGTCCCAAAGGCAAAAGTGAACAGCTCTGTTCTTCACTTGAATCCCTAATCTGATAGGGTGTGGGGGGAATATTCCCACAGAAAGGTGTAGTGGTTGGTCTTAAATCTAACCATCAGTTTTGTAAATCATTCTGTTTCAGTCCGTGATTAAAATACAATCTTTAAACATGTGCAGAGATGAGTTTTCATTGTTTTGTTCAACAAAAATAGTGCTTGAGCATGTTGTGCTGGGAGTTTTTTGAACTTAAACCACCTTTGTACATATAAGTTACTATTTTAAATCAGTTTTAAAAGTTCCAGCTTTATTTCCGTAAGCTTCATTAATCTTTAAGACACTTTCATCAGCTTGTTCCAATGCAGAAATTTGGCATTCATGATCATGATGTTGTTTCTGTCTTAAAGTCAGTTTTATATGTCAGCTTTTATCCAAAGGTATTAACTGAAGGTCAGAACAACAACAAAAAGTAAATAAACAAGGTCTTCTTCAAACAGGATACTGAATTCACTTGTTTCCAGTTTAAGTTCATCTCTCCTACAAAGGTGAGGAAGGGATCAAACATCATCATGGCAACACTGGCTTTGGTAGAGGATGCAGCCAGCCTATTGTCTTGTCAGTGGGCTGAGATTTACTTGTCCCCTTTTCTCCTGAACCCCTGTAATGCTGCATCTGCAGTTTCATTCATTTTCTTTGACAAGGAGAGTCACTCATGTACTGTTGCATGGAGGATCACCTTCTTTTGTTGGTTTTGATTCTAGCTCATATTAGTTTCAGAACTAGAGTTCATGGTTTGGAAGAGACAGCAATTCATGCCAGTTCACTTTTTCCTGTCTCTGGAGATGTACAACGCACCTTCCCTAAACTATGTCTTTGCCATTTTTAAGAATAGCCCCTGCCTACTCATCCAGCTTTCATAGGAGCAAGAGGGTATTTTCCCATTAGTTGTGTATGTCTTTCCTGAAATTTCCTAGCAACTGTTTTATTCTAAATTTTATTTGACTGTCTCTGAGTGTGGAACTGATGTATTTTATGAAGCTATTTTTAGCAAACACTTGGGTTTCCCCACTCAGTGGGATAGCAGCTGGTTCAGATGCTATTAATTCTGAACACACTTCAGTTGTGTACAGTTCAGGGAACTCCACCTATGTCTACCACAGAGAATCTTTAAGAATGATGTTCACATTCATGGAGTAAAAACCTAAACAGACATTGGGCAGTACAAAGATAGTTTGAATTTATACAAGCTCAAACAACTAGAAGGAAAAAAAACTAGATTGAAGATAGAAATATTTTAATGGGAATGGTTTGGCGAACCATGAGAATAATTTGCAGAGAAACTTCCCTGGACAGTTTCAGTCAAGATTTTACGTCTCACAAAACCATCTGGAAGTGTCTGGGCAGACCTTACAGCAGCCTTAGGGTACTTACAGGGGCATACAGGAAAGATGGGGAGGGGCTTGGGCAGTGTAGTGATAGAATGAGGGGCAATGGTTCCAAACTGAAAGAGAGAAGATTTAGGTTAGACATTAGGAAAAAATATTTCACTGTCAGGGTGCTGAAACACTGGAACAGTTGTCCACACTAACTGTGGGTGTCCTGTCCATGGAAGTTTTCAAGATCAGGATGGATGGGGCTTTGTCTAGTGGAAGATAGCTCTGCCCAAGGCGGGGGAGTTGGAAACAGATGATCTTTAAGGTCCATTCTGATCCAAACCATTCTGTGATTCTTTGATGTCTTCTCACTGAGTCTTTCCAAGCATGAGATCTGTGTCTAGAGAGCTCGAGGTCTCATTGTTAATGGAGTAAGGTCTACCCTACTCCCATCTTGTTGATTTTAGATGCCATCTAAAAAAGCCACATAATCCTGTAAATGTCCTTGCATTTCCTTTTTTTTCAAGATACACAGGGAAAGGGACTATTAGCTGGGCATAAAGCTTATATTCATTTTGAGGAGCTGGAGATCACTGCATGACAGAACCAAGCGCAAACACAGTGTTGTGCTCTCATTTGCAGCAGACTAAAACAGTAGAAACATGTTCCTATGCACTGAACCCTGGACTAATATCCCTTTTGGGCTTTTTAGCTCTAACTTAGTACTTCACTCCAAGTGACCTTATCTGCAGCCTTTGGTTCAGAGAAAGATCACATCTAAGAGAAAGTAAGCATTCTTGTCTCTCCAGAATCTAGGAAGAACATGCACTGACGAAAAAAAAAATAGTATGACCAAAGAAGAGCATCTGGGAACAAAAACAATAAACAAATTGAGGGAGAGCATATTTCCTGTCTGAATTAAGCCATGGATGATCTATTTTTAGCTTCTTAGAGTTGGTACATACAAGGGTTAGCAGCAGGAGATTTATCACTCAGTCACTATAGCACTTTCTCTGTATGACTGGCTGACTTTTTTTTGGTAAGTGAATGTAGTGCTTGTGAAATGTGCCAGACTGACACTCCAGGAACTAAATTCCTCTGTTTATTCATGGATCATGCACAGGATGCAGTAAGCCTGCTAGACAGCCAACATTTTGATGTTGCCATAGCATTCCCATGGAACATCATTGCTGCTAACAGCGTGTCCAGGATTACTCAAACTAGATGGGATGAGATTATCATCAGTTTTAACTCTCTCGAAGCTCCACAATATTTGCCCAACCAGTTTCAAGTGGCATAGGGATTAGTGAATTAACAAAAAGAGTAAAGACTCATACTTTCAGTGTAATCTGAACTAATTTATTAACTGCCTCAGTGCAATGAAATCTGTTTAAACACTGAAAACATGGTTTGTGAGAACCGAGAACACAGATCTGGCTGAGTGAGGGGAAAAAAAAGCATCCTAAGGTCAGGGATTTCTAGAGCATTGCAGTTCATGAAAATACAGTTGAGCTAGTTGCAAAACTGTTATCTCAGGAACTAAAAGCAGAAAACTGTGTCAGCTTTGCAGTGTCACACAAGTGCACGTGAGCTTATCTGGGGCAAAACCCAGTGTTGTTATAAAAGTACTTCCAAGGTGAATGAGAATAATCACTCGCGATACTGCTGCAAAAATCCAAAATAGTTCTTAACATATCTATCTAGGGAAAAAAAATACATGAAACATGTAAAAAGATGACAATGACTTTACTTTTGCACAGATAAATGGTTAGAGCTGATTTAATTTCACATTTTAAAGTCATGGGATTTCCAGAGATCTGGACAAGGCTGTGTTTCACCACTGAATATGTGGCTGAGTAGTACATACATAGGTATAGAAAAAATACCTGAGAGCTCTTTAACCTTGCAAAGAAAGGCTAAAGAAGCCCCAACACTTGGTAAATTGAAAGTAAACAAATTAACCTTCCAGCATGAAAGCAGATCCTCTCTGAGAGTGATTTCATATCGGAACATGTAGATCTGATATCTGAAGATAATTAAAAGATGCCTCTGAAAGGACACCTGGCAAATAGGCCAGGCAGGCTCCTAAAAATGTAGGTCACTCACAGGGAAGCCATACTTAGATTCTGCCTCACGTCCACAATGACAGCACTTATTTTGATTAGTGTGAGAGTGACCCATTGCTCACAATTTCTACAATGGATATTTCCTTGCCAATATTCCTCCCAGGCTAATATTTAGTTCAGAAATCAAAGTCCCTCTACCTTGTCACAAAAAGGCACACAAAATCTATTGATGAGTTCAAGTCTGAGATAAATAGAAGCATCCACTAAGTACCAAGGTGATCTGAGCCTACTGCCTTTGATAGCAGAGTGAAACAATGTCAAACAAATTTTTTTTCTCTTAAAAAAGGGTTATAAATTTAAAAGTAAAAAAAAAAAATCTCTAAATAGGGACCAAAAAAGATGACTCCTGCTATGAAGAATAGTTCAAATAAATATAGATCTTACAGGAATGAATGGATCTTATAAGAATGAATATAGTTGTCCAGGAATTGGGTAAGGCAATGTTTTTTAAACAATGAACTTGTACAGGAAATAAATAACTTGCTGAAAAAAGCGCTCTAAGGTTATTAGAAAAAAATTATAATTTCCTCAATAATTAACTACTTTGTTAACTGCGGGAAAATTATTTATAAACTGAAAAGGTAAGTGCCATAATTTGTGTGGAATACACTGTTATTTGCACATAATAAAGTAGCTACATTCTTGCTTCCAGTTCAATACTGACTTTAGGAGCTAGATATGGAGCCACCAGCCACACATCTGAAATGATATTTTATAAATATTTAGACTTCATAGTTGACTCTTTACACAACTATCAGTTACTTTAGTACACAGTGAGGATTGATATTGTAGAAACAAAGGATGTTGATATTTAGCATCAGGTTTGCTGCTGCCTCTTCCAAATGCACAGTAGTGTTAACTCTAAATATAACAGCACATGGGAGATATTTAAATGTTCATCTTAAATAAATTTTCTACATACAGGCTCTTGTTCAGTTTCGGTGTCAGGCTGCCCTTGCTCGTTCTATGACACGGTTTCCGCTTCAGCTGCCGCCATGGAAAGACAAAAATCAGATTCCAGTGAAGTTCGCATTAAGTCTGCCGTAGATAAGATAAAACTACCATGATTTTAAGAGGGTGAGGCTGAGTATACTGACCCATCTGCAGTAACTGAGGAAGCCAGAGCAAAACATATATTGTACAACATCAGGCCAGGCAAGATGGGTAAGCCACAAACAATTCTTTGAAGGTAATTTTATTCCTTTTTAAAACAAATGTACTATGCTTTGGCAATCTACTGTGGCAACACTGAAGGAGAGTAACAGGAAGAAAACAGACCAGTGGCCAAGAGTGCTGTTTCCAAATACATATAGTTATTGGTTTCCATACTTACCAACCCTTGTTGGCGGCTCTCCCTTTGGAAATGGACCTTAGCCAAGAATTCCTTTCACACATGCAATCAAGAAGAGACAAAATGTAGCACTGACTCACTTATTTAGACAAACTGTCTAGATTGACAAATTGTCACTTTAAAGTACAATGTTTCCTAATTTTGGAAAGGAAAAAGTAAAAAAATAAAAAGAGCAAAAAAAACAGGCTATGGCAGGTTTTGAGTGGTATTGAACCTGGTCACCTCTTTGCAGTCAGAATGCAAGACACATTAAGATGATAAGCTGCCTTATGTCCTTACCAAAGAACAGAGATCAACAAACATTTCCTTCCCCTCTATCTTGGCATTGC